GAGGCTTGATTTGTACCATGATGTTACGCCATTTACAAGATGTAATCAGGAAAACAAACAGATCTAAAAATAAGAATCTTTACTACAACAAGGATACCTAAGAATAATATTTGTCCCTAAAAAACTGAAACCTACAACAAAACTTGATTGATAACAGTAAGTCTACACGCGAGCCAAATATATTCATACCTCCAGTCTGTGCATCAAAACGCTTAGTGGCGATGGCATCAATCTCATCAATGAAGATGATAGCCGGGGCGTTTTCCTTCGCCAGCCGGAAGACGTCGCGCACCATACGAGGGCCTTCACCCAAATACTTCTGAACAAACTCGGAGCCCACCACACGGATGAACGCCGCTGAGGACAGAGAGATTGGAGATTTACTGTACATACTCCTTACCAACAATCTCTAACTTAAATACAATATCTGCTGTGAACTGCACTTGTAGTTTGTAGTATTCTATATTGTTTTAAGTATTAACACAATGTATGTGAGTAGCATATTGAGGCTGAAGGTTCTGTTCAGTGACTAACACATACAGGTCTCTGATGGAGGACTTACCTGTAGTGTGGTGTGCCACAGCCTTGGCCAACATGGTCTTACCACAACCTGGAGGTCCGTACATAAGGACACCCCTGGGTGGGTCAATACCAATCTGAGAAAGGAAATACACTTCGACTTAGAGGTATTAAAGATCTAGCACAAGTTTTCCTCATTACTGAGAGAGAAAATTAATGTCATTTCCTTCCTTTTGACTGACTGAATAATTCCATATAAAACTGGCACATTTGTCTTGAATATCTGACCTGTTTGTAGAGCTCAAAGTGTGTGAGTGGCAGCTCTACAGCTTCTCTGACTTCCTGCTTCTGGATGTCCATACCACCAATGTCAGCATACATCACATCTGGCTTTTGGTCTGGGAGCAGAGTGGAAAAGCAAAGTTATATCAGCGTTGCTGTTCAAACAGTAAACGCTATACAGGATCTTCGACCTTCTTCAACAGCTTCAAAAAAATAAATAAATACATCTATGTATTTTTAATGCTTGCAATCTTCTGTGACGCATGTAGATAACAAGTAATCTATAACCACAGTTGTCTTTGTTGAGGAGCTATTACAACAGGTCCAGAAATCCTGTGGGAGAGAGTGGCACAGAGTGTTTTACCTGAGGTGAGCATCATGATGCTGCTGTCAGCTTCAGGAGGGAGCACATCCACCAGGGCATTGCTGTGCTTGTGCAAGGCCACTGAGGCGTTAGGCTTCAGCAGCTCTCTGTCAATGGTGCTTCAGTATGCCAAACATAAGTTATGGAACCCTTGAGGGGGGGGGGGGGGGGACAATGATGAATAAAAAGTAAAAAGACACAGGAATAGAACTCATTACACATTTACTTCACACTGAATAATTAAAAGTTGAGGGCATACAGTACATCTCTTCAAGGTTTTCTCAAAAGAGAATGAAAAGCCTGAACATCATAAAGCATTTAAATATAA